CCCCAAAACCCCAAAACCCCAAAACCCCAAAACCCCAAAACCCCTCACAGCCAAGCGCATATTGAATATGTTCTAATAAATTAATCCTTTGGCAATCTCGGGATCTCAAGAACGGTTCTGTACTTTTCGTAGTTGTTAATGTTCTCGTTCTCAAGTCTGAACAAACTCCATTGTGCTCTCCTGTAAATCTCCATGATAGCAAGGATGAGCGTCAACCCTTCAATGTTTCTGAAGGTATCTGGCCAATAAGAGGCGGGTATAAAACCAAGGGTCCATGCAAATCTTAAGAAGAAGTTGGTGATACATGAGAAGTAATAATATCTTGGAGGGTATAAGATTTGAGCTCTTAGCATTCTTTTGTCTCTTAGCAATCCCCAATCCATAATGATATCCCAGATATAACTATAAACTGTAGCGAAGAGGTACAATCCTAATACTACATTTCTTAAATCTGGGTTCTTTCCATAGAAGTAGTTGGAACATATCATCACTATTGATGCAAAATATTTACCAGCATTGACCAAGTGAGGAAAAGCATCTCCTGTGTACCACCATTTATTTACGCATTGCCAAAATCGAATGTGGAATGGAAGGTACCAAGCAAAGATAGCCCAGAACATCTTTGAATGGCATTTGCCTGTATCAAATACATTGTCTTCATCAGTTGAGCTAGCCCAGCATATGATCAGAGATACGTCAATAAAAGGTTTCACCAGACTTGTCATTACATCTGCTACAAAAAATTCCAAAAACCTGACCTCTGAGAATGGTGAGTACAAGCAGTGGAATGTCGCAATAATTGCTGGGAACCTTATCACACTTTGGAATATCTTCAGAGGATTGAAAAAAACTGCAAGGAATGTATATAGCAGAATAATTGCAAAAAGATCATGTTTATAAGGCAAATAGTCTTTTAAAACAGCAACTTCTCCAATCATTCAAATAAGCCAAGCAACCATTAAGACTGCAGTAAGGATGTACATTCCACTTGGATTTAGTCTATTAGCTGGGCTTGATTCGAAAATGATCACATAATTTACTCTGAACTCTTTCAAGAAAACAATAACGACACCTCATCAGAGGAGGGTAAAAATAAAACTGAGTGTTCCTCTAAATATAGGGTAAACAGCCTTGATCTGATGCAGGAAATAATGATTTTCCTTAGGAGGTGTGAGCAGAATGACTCCCAGGATAAAGGAAAGACCTATCAGAACTCCAAGTAATAGTTTCAGTTGTCCCCTATCTTCTGATTTATGAGCAGAAAGAGTAGACTCAAGAAATCTGAATGCCTTGTTCTTTTTATTATTGAAATAATATTTTGAAACAGAGTTCCTAATCTTCTTCCTCTCATCAGTACATCCTTTCTCTTCGGAGAGGGGGAGAGTATGGATAAACTCATTGAGCTTTCTATTGAACTTACTCTCTTTCACCAAGAACAAAGTTTTGTCAAATTTCAAAAGAATCTTTTGCATAGCAACAATATTAATTTTTGCAAATCCATCGAGCCAAGAGAATTTTGAGTAATATTCAACAAATTTTCTCGACCAGGAAGATGAATAACCTAGCCCATCTATGTCATAAAGCTTCAGGTCTTCATGCAAGTTGATCATTGTAGTCACAGAGTTGATTTTATTCAAGAATCTTTTGTAGAAAAGTTCATACTCATTGATTATTCTCTGTTTTTCTTCAAGATAGAAATCATTTATACCTTTACATTCGCTGACAAATTCCACAAGGATTTCTTTTATATCAGTGCTAAGGGAGAGCAGAGGAGCTTCCAGATCTAGATTCTCTGGAATAGATCCAGGAGAACTGTAGCTTAGAGAGTCGTCATTCGGAAAGACTTTAAGTGTATTCAAAGGAATTTCAGTCTCCTTTTCTTCTTCGCTTTCATTTATGACAACCTGGTAAGTACTTGAAAGATCGTATTGGTTAGATACCTGATTATTAAGCCCATATCTGGTCATCTTCTTGACTAATTTCTCAATATGTTCAAGATATCTAGCATACCTCAGATAGTGTTCATCCCATTCCGGGACTTTATGGAACTCAAACTGCTCTTTGAACCGCATCTTATTCCCCAACACTCAATTATTATTTTTAAATATAAAGCTCACATTTAGGGGTTTTGGGGTTTTGGGGTTTTGGGG